TAAAGGTGAGTGAGCGTAGCGAACGAACTTCAACCTAAAGGTGAGTGAACGTAGCGAACGAACTTCAACCAGGACGTGATTGAGCCATGCGAACGAGCTCACTTATGAAGTTAAACAGGGCAAAGCCCGCGGGTACAACTAGTTGTAAATAAAAGACAACTACATAAAAAATATTCTTTTACTTAACACTGTCACAATAGTGTTTTGGCAACGAGATTAAAAGTTGTTTAATTTAAATCAGTGTGTTACAGGTTTTAATCATTCACAGATTTAATTTAAATATTAAAAATACTTATTCAAATGCACAAGATGAATCCTCAACAAGACCTAATAAAAATGATTGATCAAGTAATGAAAAAGATCTAGATGCTGTTTTGAACCGAGAAAGACTGGCCTTTACTGCTGTTATTTTATCTATTAATTAAACTATTTTAATTAAATAATCATTTCTAAACAAGATAGTGTTTATTCTCCAAATTCATAACATAACATAAAAATCAACAACTAGAGATCAGCTGGTTATAGCAATACCAACATCTCCCTCTTTAACTTTTAAATGGACGAATGAATCTTCTATTGCGTCTAAATAGTCTTCCTTCAATTGCTACAATGTAAGTTCTCAACCCATCCACAGTTACTATTACGCCAGGCGTCCACGGTTCTGCTTTCATGTCTGGTCTCTTCTGTATTAATACCTTTTGCCCAACTTTAAGTGGGTCCAATGTATGAGTGCCTTTATCATAGTGCTTCTTGTATTTTTCTTGTTTTTCCTTCAACTTGTCTGTGACTCCTATGTGTATCTTTGGATTTAGTTTCATCTCTGTTACTGGCAAACGAGTCTTTGTTGATCTTGAAATTAATAACTGCACAGGACTTGCACCCAAGTCAGCCAGTGGTGTATTTCTCCACTCTAATAGAGCTGCTTGAAAGTCTTCTTTACTTTCTTTTACTTTCTTTAACATTCTCTTAGCAATTTTAACCGCTGATTCTGCCTTACCATTGGATTGGTGATTATGCGGTGAAGAAACAACAATTTTGAACATCCAAGTCTGGGCAAAAAGCTTAAAGTCTTGGCTAACTAGTTGGGTACCACTGTCAGAAACAACAACGTCTGGTATTCCGTAGCGAGCAAATAGTTCTTTACAAAACTGAATCAGGCCTTCTGTTTTCAGTGAATTCACTTTCTTTAGTTCAAAAAATGATGAAAAATAATCCGTCATTATAAGAAAGTGGTCACTGCCCAGCTGGAAGAAGTCAATTCCAACTCTTTGCCATGCTCTAGTTGGAGTATTATGAGGCTGTAAGGGTTCGGATTTCTGAGCTGGAGCATACTTTTGGCAAGGCCAACATGTTTCAACAGTTCTTTGGACATCTCCAGCCATTCCCGGCCAAAATAACACCTCTCTTGCTCTTCTTAAACAAGACTCAACTCCTTGGTGAGAAGAATGTAAAATTTTAAGCATGGCAGGTCTCAAAGAACGTGGAACTACTATACGGTCTCCTTTTATTACGATTCCATCTATCGCTGATAGTTCATCTCTAACACTCCAGTATTCCTGTAGGTCTTGAGGAACATGAGTACGTTTATCAGGCCACCCTTTTTTAATTGTGTCCACAAGATTATTCATTACAGGGCATTTGCTTGACTCTTCTTTTATCTCCTTAATCCTCTCATCGGTAATATTAATGTTGTCTAAATCATTAATGTTCTCTAACTCTGCTTGGAAGATTAGGTCGTCAACTGTTTCTCTGCCGGTTACTTTAAGAGGCGATCTGGACAGAAAATCTGCGACATGCATTGATGTGCCTGGCTTGTATTGTACACAAAAGCTGTATTTTTGAAGTCGTAAAAGCATCCTTTGCAGTCTCTTAGGAGCTGAAATCAAGGGCTTCTTGAATATTGTCTCCAAGGGCTTGTGATCAGATTCAACTATAATATCTCTATGTCCTATCAAATACTGTTCAAAGCGTTCAAGTCCAAACACAATAGCTAGACACTCTTTTTCAATTTGTGCGTAGGCAACTTCAGTCTTAGTTAATGTTCTTGAAGCATAGGCAACGGGCTTACCTTGCTGCATGAGACAAGCCCCTAGGCCATATTGACTAGCGTCACATTGCACAACACAACTCTGTGTCTGGTCAAAGTACTTTAATGTTGGAGCTTCTTGAACCATCTTGAGCAACTTTTGAAAAGCATCTTTCTGTGGGCTGTCCCATACCCACTCACTATCATCTTTCAGCAAATTTCTAATCGGTGTTGCTACTTCTGATAGTCTTGGTAGAAACTTTGATAGGTACACAACGTATCCTAAGAATCTCTTCACTTCTTCTTTTGAAGTAGGAGCTGAAAGTTTGCTTATAGCTTCTACTTTGCTAGGATCAGGACACAACCCATCTGCTGTAATAAGATGTCCCATGTATGGAATTTTTTCTACACCTATTTTACACTTATTCTTGTTGAACTTTAACCCTTTAAGCTGAGCTTGTTGCAAAAGGGCATTCAGCTTCTTGTCATGGTCAATCTTAGCTTCTTGAACTGTGTTTCCTTTTCCAAATACCATAACATCATCAGCTATTGCCACAACCCCTTCAAGACCTTCAAGGTTTTCGTGAACTCTTCGTTGAAACTCTTCAGGAGCATTAGCAACACCAAAAGGTAGTCTAGTCCAACGAAATCTGCCTTTGGGGGTACAAAACGTGGTTAGCCTGCTAGATTCCTCATTTAGCTTTACATGCCAAAACCCATCCTTAAGGTCCAGAACACTAAAGAACTTTGCTCCATGTAGCTGTGGAGCTATTTCCTCGATAGTTGGTGCTTGATAATGAGACCTTTTAATGGCTTTATTAAGGTGAAAAGGATCTATACAAAGCCGTATCTTGTTAGGTTTCTTCACTACTACTGAACTACTGACCCAATCAGTAGGCTCTGTTACCTTGACGATGACTCCGAGCTGTTCAAGTCTATCTAATTCAGCACATATTTCTTTTTTCAACGCTAGAGGATGTCGCCTGGGTGTTGCTATTGAAGGTGGTACCGACGGGTCAGTTCTTATGCTGCAAAGACCTTCAAAACTACCTAATCCTTCAAATACGGTAGGAAATTTATCAAATATCGTATGTTGATGTGTGGCCATTTGGTTAGATGCTGTGAGAGCCTGGAAAACCTCTTCATCTGTTGAAATCAAGCCTAGTCGAAGACAATCTGCTGCTCCTATAAGAGGATTTCTCTCAGAATTCGTAATTTCAAATTTTAAATCAAAAATATTCTTTTTGAATTTTGTTTTAAGCACAATGCTGCCCTGCGAGTTTTGGGATGACCTGCCATAGAAACACAAAGTAGTGGAGCTACTGTTAAGTTTAGGATTTTCATCGTCCAGAATAGTTTTTAGATCTCGTAGCCCCATAACGTTACAAGTTGCACCTGAGTCAAGCTGGAACTTTCTGAGCTTTTTGTTGACCATCATTTTTACAAAAAGTCGTTTTTTGTACTGGATATCGTTAAGTTCCATTACTTCCTCTTCACTTTGGCTATCTTGATTAGCTTCACTGTCATTATCTTGGACCAAATTAACTTTACCGGAACTTCGGCACACGCTGCTGAAATGGTTCTTCCTTCTACAATTGCTGCAAACTTTACCAAACGCAGGGCAGTTTTTTGCTCCCTTGATATGGTTTTTACCACAAAAACGACAGGTCCATTTGTTATTTAAGTGTCTACTCTTTGCTTGAAATGCCGCCTCTTCTGATTTCACTGTCATTTTTGTAACAAACCTTTCAGTTGTTTCATGATGCATACATATTTCTATAGCTTCATCAAGTTTTAGGTCTTTTCTACGCAAAAGTGTCCTTTTTAATTCAGTATTGGTTATGCCTACAACAAGTTGGTCACAAATTAGAGTATCTTCAAGGCCTATCTTGCCCAGATTTGCTAAAGAATCAATATCACACAATCGTATTTGCTCTTTTAAACGACCTATAAAGTCTTTAGTTGCTTCATCAGTCTTTTGAACGATGCCATTAAAAATGAATCTCTCATACAAAGGATTGTTTGTCCCTAAAAAATACTTATCCAAAGCTTCAATTACCTGATCCAGGGTTGATTCATTGGAGCCAAGTATTTTTTCAATCAAACATAGTCCATCGCGGCCAATTACAGTTGAAAACATGGCCATCTTCAGTTTAGGTGTACTTAACCTTGTACCACCTAATGCTCCTGCTTCAGCTAAGATCAAATAGTTCTTCCATTGTTTCTTGAACACTTCCCAGTTTTCTCTTACTCGCGTTGGGTTACTTAAGTCCAGTGGATTCGGTACTACTGACACCATGTTATTTTATCTATTAATTAAACTATTTTAATTAAATAATCATTTCTAAACAAGATAGTGTTTATTCTCCAAATTCATAACATAACATAAAAATCAACAACTAGAGATCAGCTGGTTATAGCAATACCAACAACTGCTATGAAAGTAATCAAATAAAAGTCTCCAACAAGCTCCAGTTGCAAACAATCAAGCTAGTTCAAACCTATCTATACCAAGCTCTTTACTTCCCCCACTGATGATACAAACCTATCTATACCAAGCTCTTTACTTCCCCCACTGATGATGGGTCCGCACTCCTATGGAAGTCATAGATGACGATAACAATTTGGAGGAAAATCTATGGCTCTGCCAAGTATGAATCTATTTCTGTGGTTATTAGATTTCTGTGATCCAAAGCGGTGTAGTCTCAAACATACTGAACAGCATGCAAAGTTACTTCAACTCAAATCACTGTTTCAATAGAAACTGATCACTCGCTGCTGGCCTAGTGCAAATATGTACACCGTATTGAGAACCTGATTCGTTTAGAACATTTTTTTTACATCTAAACCATTTTCTGCATACACATCCATTAACTGTCAAAATAGTTAAAATAGTTAAACCCCACAGAAACCTAATTACAGAATGTGATTCATTCTTAGCAACTTGAGCTTGTTGGAGAGTTAAGCCACATACCTCATGTACGTACTCGGCTTCTAGTTGACTCGCTTGTGTGTCAGAGATTGTGACCTGTTGGGAGTCGCAGGTGAGAGGAAAGTCACAGTTACACTGGCCTCGTCTAACTCTCCGCAGTGTAAAGGACGTGCGGACACCTCTCTCTCGCACACTGAGCCCCCCCTCCACCCGCACCACGTCCATTGTGCGAGGAGTTATACCGTGTGTCCAAGCATACCTGGTGGGCAAGCAAGACTGTAGATGAAGATAGGCCTACTAATCATGATGATTGTAGTCTACTTTGAGCTGATGTGCTACACACTTGTGTAATATCTTGTATATATTTACTTGTTTGACACCATATAGGCGTAAATATGTATTCTTTTACAGATGTGAATAAAGATCTTTTGATTTGATTTGAAGAAAATAAAATATATTATATACAAATGTGTCAATTAATTAAAAAATAAAATATCATTAAAAACATATTTTAAGGTATAAATATGACACTGCTTGGTTAAGTTAAAGTACCGGAGGACCGAGCCATGGCTCGGTATAGTTTATTTCGATTGTAAAAGCAATATAAATGTTTCTACAACTAATTTTGGCTTTTAGTAATTCAAGTTCCAGTGGAATTTCAATTTATTAAGAATACAGCTGTCCAAATTGTGGAAAATATAAAAAAGAGCGCATAAAAATTGTAAAAATCTACCCTTTAATAAGAGTAAAACATTGAGTTGATGCCAGTGCACTCAAACGGCACCAACACGAAACACTCATCACTTATCAACACTGACTTGCTTTATTTTCCGCTACATTGAGTAACCTTCAATGTAATCTTTGTTTAATAGTTACATCAACTGATGATTATCACTTTGTACTAAATTTTATAATTTGCTAGACTACTGTGGATGGCTTGTTATAGACACATGTTTCAAGTATTTTGATTACTTTTTACTTGTTATTTTGTTCAACCAACATAGTTACTTGGCACTAACGTCTCAGGGGGCTGGTCAAAAACCGATGAGAACCTCTTCTGCGAAGGAGTGGGGGATTGTGGGAGAGCCCCTCACATTGATTTAAGAAAAATTATAAAATTTATTTCTTTATTTTTTTTTATTATAAAATTAAACTGCTATAACCTGCTGATAATATAAAAAAGACTAGGGAACCCGTGCGGCTCAATGAGCCGCCTAGTATGAAACATAACGCCGAGGAAAACCTTATGCTTAAATTCTAGTAACTTAAGTTACATCTTAGAGTTATTTGAAAACTTGTTAGAAACTAATTTTAAATATCTCTAATGGCGTCACCAAGGTTCACCTACATCATTTCTGCTCTCGATTTTAACTGATAACTTCTAATGAATGCTAAAGGATCTGCCTTAATTCGAGTTAATATGTTGCAACAAAGTTTTTCCAGCATTGAGAATTATTAAAGAACACTGTTACCGTACTGATAACCTTTCTTAAGTTCCTAATTAAAGTTGGGCCATTTTATTCCTTTGATTTGAGACATCCCCCGATCAAACAAATTTTCTCCGTAGAGTAACCTGAAAAGTGGGGTGATGTCAACCATTTCATGTGCTCCATTTTTTACCCACAAACTCGGGGTTACCAACTGGACAGCCATAACCTGCTTTGAATAGGCTAAAGCAGCAACACCATTGAAAGTTGGTTAACGTAATTTTAACAAAATGTTTTGAAATATCTCGATCTGTCAATGTCTGAAGTAAACATTTCTTGCATGCATTCATTTGATCTGACATTTAGGCAAGTTTACATTCCCACCGTGACAACACTATGAGCTTCGTATATTTGTTCACTTCCAAAGTAAGTTGCATAGCAGAACTGGCAAATATTATTCATCTCACAAAGTGAATGTGTATCTGGATGGGTATCTGTTAGACCAGGTCTCTCTTTTTCTACTCTCCTCATACGCACAAAATATCTTATTATTAATTGTGTCCTACTACCGTGTTCAATATTTCTTCTTTGAACTTGAGGCATTTTCTGTTCTTCCAACAAAACTGATTTGAACTGTTTAACTTGGTCTTAACCTACTAAATATTACAAACATCAATATTTACTCCCAAAAAGCTACAGCTTCTTATAAACAGCTGTTTTTTGGTTTTAAATTTGTTCTATGTATTTCTTATGGGGAAAACCCGACCTTTGAGTGGGCCTCACGCTCTTAAGGGCAGGAATTTTAGAATTCGAAAACCTTATTGCAAAACTACATATTGAGACGAATCTTTTGACACCTCAAACGTTGAAATTGGTCCACAAATAAGGGAGGAGTTGCGTTAACAAAAAACGGCTTCACGTATTATATATATAGATAGATATAAGATAGAAATCGAATAAAGGTTTATTAATCTAAAAAATAGTTCTTTTCATAAAATAAAATTATAAATGCCTCAAATTCTAACAAAAGATGAACGGTTAAGAAGTAATCCCATTCTAAGCAAAATCTTTGAAAAAAGTTAGTGTCACTGGTGGGATTCGATCTGGTTACCTCATGGACATCAGCCGAGTGCTCTATCCACTGCACCACGAACACCGATGGCTGCACTTTGTATCGTTGCGGTAATGGTGTTCCCTCAAGAGAAGAGAGTGACGTCACACCCCACTCCTTCGCAAAAGAGGTTCTCATCGGTTTTTGATCAGGACCCCGAGACGCTAGTGTAACGCTAGTGCAACCCATAAGGCCAATGTTACATTTTTAAATGTTCAAACGAGTTGTGTAGCGAAATACAAATTTTCCTGAGGTGGCCGGTGGCTGTCACCAATCTCGTTTTTAGGGAATAAGTCCCTAATTCCAAAATATAGTCAAAATCCTTCCGCTGGATTTCAAGATATATATTACAAACAGACATAGCTCGTATTAGAATACAGGATAGGATATGAAACCATAAATAGCTGTAAAACAGTAGGGCAAGAGTTTCAGATTCAGATTCAGTTGATTGGTCCCATCAGAGCAAGACATTTAATAGCCATCATAAAACTATTTTGCCATAGTAAAACATTTTAGGTTTTGCAGTAACATTGTTAACCTTAATTGATTGAGAAAGTAATTATTGATACTCCAGTATTCACCGACCCATAAAAATCAATTCAAACTAGGCAAAAATTTGAATTTATTGGATTTGAAATTGACAGTTCTAAGCGACAAACCGCATTAAATGTTTGTAGTAGACAGAACTTCCTTCACTTTGCATTTATATATTATTCTGTATGAGAATTTGATACTTCTACTAAATAACCTATGTTAATTAGTAACTAAACCTTATGTAAAATTATCCAACCAAAACCACCCTATGAGCAATATAGACTGGACAAACGCAAACGAAGAAGACAAATTCAGTATAGCACTTTAGCACTGTCTGTGGTACAACCAACTAAACTGTGAATCGTGGTTTATTAAGATATCAGCTACCAATGGTCAGTGCGGATAGGGTGCCTAGTTCAATATGCATGATCAAAGGTTCAACACATTAAGCAAGAGATTATGTTAACACAAAAAATACATATATTCAAAACATAAACATGTTTAGATGTTGATAATGAACTTTAAATAAATAATAATAAAACTTTCAACCAAGTTAAATTTGTTACACAGGTATTCAGGTCACCATAGGAACAAATCATTGCAAAGTCAAATTGAATATCATCAATAAAATTTAGAAACAAAATTAAAATCGAGGTTCTTTTTTATAACTATAAAATGGACCCTAATAATGAAAAACAAAGTTTAAAACGAAAATGTTCTCCAAATAGATCAGACAGTGAAAGGCTTGAAAAAATGGCGAGACTTTACATAGAAGAAGCTATGACTAAAGCTGTGATTCGTAACTGTCCAACTTGTGAGACACCAATTGTAAAGTCAGAAGGTTGTGACATCGTGGAGTGTCTGTGTGGGGAGACGTTCTGCTACAGTTGTGGCCGGGAAGTCCTGGACTGTAAGCTGACCTGTCGTCTTGCTCAACGAAAGACTACATATCGAGCCGCATGCTCAGCTAGGAGAAAACTACGACGACTTTACCCTACACTAAAATTCACCCAATGTGTATCTTTGTTCCAAAATATGAAATGAATCACAACAAAAATTATATGATTCCTCAATACACTTTTGTAAATTTCCTTTCCTATTGATGTTGAAGGCACTTTCTTTTAGTTGTGCTTCTGTTTCAGGAGTAAATATGGACCTACAACGATTATTTTCGTGAGAGAGTAGTATGAAGTTCCGGTTAAAACACAGTTAATGTTGTAAATGACGAAGTTCTCCCTTGTAGTTTAACTTCTGTAGTCACATATCTTTAATTAACCTAGGTGATTATATGAATTGATAGTTCCTTAATACCTGTTATTAGATGGCATTTAATACAAAATGTAATTTTAGGATATAGCAAAGTCACGGTTATAGCGGGCTCATAGCAGTAATAAAACGAACATTAGCCTATGTCAGGCAAAAAACACATGGTTACAGCTAGTATGCCATAAAAGACATAAAATTAATCCCTCATAAATAAATTTATAAAGAAGTTAGAAAATAATTCCTGTGTCACTGGGTTAATTTATTTTTAAAGTTCTTTTGCAAAATATAGTATACGTTAGCATTGATGAAATTACCTTGCATCTCCATCCATTATGAGGATCGACCTGCGGGGCAGCATTATTGGAACATAAAGATTTCCTCGCCTAAACTCCATCACCACATCAGAGCCCAGAGATAGGGAGAGAAGAGGAGACTCAAACGCACTGTGAGTGTCTATATGACTGGGAATGCCTTCAGGACAAACATCTCATTGAGCGATGTACGGTTAAAATGAATAAACTTCTATTTAAAACTATCAATGAGAGTAACCAAACAAGTGCTATGCTTGGCCTACTGTTTGCTTTGACCGGTACTGTTAGTGCGTTGACTGTAAGTCTGAACAACGGTCGAGCAGTCTAAAGAATTCAATTCCAATAACATTCAGTGAGGAACTCAAGAAATTCACCTGTTTGTAGCAGACCTTGGTTGAGAGAACTACGGTACCTAAAATAAACAATGGACATCTCAGGTGGAAATTGACAGGATGGGAGAATTGTTTTTCGTCGCACCTCATTTAACAATCTGGTATTTTCCAAATTTTAGCGAATTTCCCATATAGGGAATAAGCTATTACCGTAGTACTCATGTTAAGACCTGGACGCGGGACCGATTTTTTTTTCATTTTGAGGTCCCTAGAGGCCAAAAACACCATCCGTTCAAATTCATATATATATATATATATATTTATATATTTATATATATATGTGTCCGTCAGCACGATAACTCGAGCAAAAATGATCCGATTTTGATGAAATTTGGTACAAACGTGTAAACCTACGTTTATTTGAACGAGTTCGCGATCCAGCATGATCGGACCATGGGAACGGGTGTTTACGGGGGGTTTTATGGGGTAAAAATAGGTTTTTCCCATTTTTGACCCAAAAAACATAAAATTTAGCAATTTATTTCCAAACCATTTTGTAGAGCTTCAAAAAACAAATAATTTAGTATATTGAAGCGTTATTATGCGCCTAATGGTTACGGAGAAAATTCCAAAAAATTGTAAATTTAAAATTCCCATGTTATTCTTATGGAGAATGAGTAAATTACAGTTTGCTTGTTTATGAACATATTTTGATCAAATTTGGAAAATGTTTTTATTTCTTACTAACTATTAACATTTTACAAAAAAAAACAGTTTTACCCTCCCTGATGCAGCAAACCTAAGTACTTGTTAAACTAATTCTATTTAAATCGGGAATAAATGTTATATTTTTAAGTAGACATTTCAGTGCAAATCCAATCAGTCAAATGGAAATTCGCTTAGTCTGCAGGTTTGCTGCGGCGGGGGTATTTTTTATCCTTACTGTATATTTATTGAAAACTTATTTTTAAGTAGTGTGAATTTTTATTTTTATAAGATGAGGGGAAACGCTATAATATAGGTATAATTAAATCACTGAATAATTCATGGAGTTAAAATATTTAAGAACCAGAACAAGTGGTGAATAGTTGAAGACAGTAATTGTAATCTATAACCAAAAGTCTTGCTTCTAGAACTAATTGTGATACAATAAATCACAGAAATTGAAGAAATAATAAGATTGTAAACTAAATATCAAAATAATATAGTATCAGGGTAGGCCTGATTGGTTGGCTTAAAATCACATTAAATTTTGTAAAGATTAAGCAAAAAATGTGGGCTAAACAATTGTTTAATTTAATAAAAAATATATTGTCAATATCCAAAAGCATATTGTAACTTGTAAGTAACAATAACTTGTCCGCAAACATACCTTGGCCTTTTTGGTATTGATTTACAGTTAGCTGGTCAGGAACCCATGTTAAAGGATATCCCAAATTCTGAAGTCTGTCCACAATAAAACCACACTCGTCCGGAACTGCCTCATCAAGCGGAGAGTCCTTGTCTACATTGTTATTGTCATAACGGAACTCGTATCCATAATGCTTTACCCTACGATTTTTTAAGCTCTTTCCTATAAAAAAGAAAGGTTTTTACTATAAATTGGTGCAAATACATGCATTTATGTGATCTAAAACTTTGCTGAATGGCAACTAGTTGCACATGTGAGTCATCATCAGGCCAGTACTAAGATATTTTCTTGATTCATTTGAAAGGTGTCAACATTAATAATTAAAACACAACAGCACATTAATTAATGAGACACGCACACGGGCATAAAAAACCCTGAACTTTTTAGGTGACAAACAATGGTAAGATAATACTGTATGGTGAGGGATACAACCTGATAGAGCGGAAATTGTTTCAATGCAGACTTGCAGACTACCGGTCTACAAAATAAACGGTATCAGCATTCTGACACATACTTTCTCCCATAAGTTTGTCAACAACCTTTATCATGTGTAAGCGGTGAGAGTAAATATACGGAAATGGGATTATTTGTAAGATTTTCTTCAGAATTTAAAGGACTATAACATACTAAATTTTTATCAAAACCGTTCGAGCCAATATTGGGAAAATATGATTTTCCGTTATTTTATGGGGTTTTTATGGGGAAATAACATAATTTACAATAACTTTTGAACCGTAATTTTTACAGAGATGGGATTCGTACCATTTTGTTCAGAATATAAAGGACTATAACATACTAAATTTTTATCGAAATCGTTCAGGCCATTTTTGGGAAAATCTTTTTTTTCCGTCATTTTATGGGGTTTTATGGGAAAATACCCATTAAAAATAAAAATTTCTAAGAAATGAGAAAAACTATCAAAATTGTAAGGATCATAACATGTTAAATAAATACCCCCGCCGCAGCAAACCTGCAGACTAAGCGAATTTCCATTAACCTGATTGGATTTACACTAAAATGCCTTCATAAAAATAGCACATTTATTTCCTATTTAAATAGAATTAGTTTAACGAGTACTTAGGTTTGCTGCAACAGGGAGGGTAAAAAAGATTTTTTTTATAAATAGTTTAGTAAGAAATAAAAGTATTTTCCAAAATCAATCAAAATATGTTCATAAACAAGCAAACTACAACAGCTGACTTATTCTCCATAAGAATAACATGGGAATTTTAAAATTACAATTTTTTTGAATTTTCTCCGTAACAATTAGGCGCATAATAACGCTTCAATATACTAAATTATTTGTTTTTTTAAGCTCTACAAAATGGTTTAAAAAGAAATTGTGAAATTTTGTGTTTTTAGGGTCAAAAATGGGAAAAACCTATTTTTACCCCATAAAACCCCCCATAAACCCCCGTTCCCATAGTCCGATCATGCTGGTTCGCGAACTCGTTCAAGTTTATCCTGCCTTACACCTTCAAACCAAATTTTATCAAAATCGGACAAAAATTACTCAAGTTATCGTGCGGATGGACACATATATATATATATATATATATATATATATATATATATATCTCTATATATAGATATATAAAAATTTGAACGAATGGTGTTTTTGGCCTCTGGGGACATCAAAATGAAAAAGTAAATCGGTCCCGGGCTTAGGTCTTACCATGAGACCTACGGTAATAGCTACTTCCCTATAGGGAAATTCGCTAAAACGGATTTTTTTGTCTAAAATCCTATTTTAGCGAATTTCCCTATAGGGAAGTAGCTATTACCGTAGGTCTCATGGTAAGACTTAGGCCCGGGACCGATTTACTTTTTCATTTTAATGTCCCCAGAGGCCAAAAACACCATTCGTTCAAATTTTTATATATGTATATATATATATATAGACGTTTTCACAGAACTTCGGCGTCACGGGCGATTATACCATGACTTCAAAATGCTAAAAGTTTGGATCGAAAATGGTATGATTTCGTTGCGAAAATCCAGAAGTTTGAAGTCATACCTATTTGCTCATAATTGTTAACGGGATTATTAAGTCCTCGCTTACATTGCACATAATCACTAAATCTACTTTTTAAACACCTATATTTTCAAGAAATATAAACATTTATTATGTTAACCTTTTTATAAGCCAATTTGTATTATTTGGTCTTGAAGACTGTTTGTACGAGCATATAATAGTCAACGTACCTCCATTGTCTTTAGATTTAAAATGCTATGGTGAACGGTTATGTCTACCAATATTATCATTATTGATTATTTATTTTCTAAATTAATTGATATGTGAAGTCGTATAAGAAGGTATATGTTTTGCGACACATTTTTACCGTTTGGGGTTAATTTTTTAGCCAAGTATTGGTCTACTTAAAATTTTTTTTTCATATTACCGTTGATTGTTCTGTTGGTTGGTAGTAACTGGAAAATGCAAGAACTTTTTTGCCGGGAAGCAAGCATTCAGAGCAGGCGACTATTTGGAGGTCAAAGGCCGTTCCGTGTCATTTATTATCAAACGCTAGAAATCAGTTAAGTTAGGTTAGGTTAGTTTAGTAAGTTATTTTATGTATCCAGTAAAAATATTTGGATTATAAATACTGCTACATGTGCCTAAACTAACCTAACCTAGTAGTAACAGGACAATGCTGGAATGTTTTGCCATAATGAAATTATTTGGAGTATAGGTTAGGTTAGGTTATTTTAGTCAGTTATTTTATGTTTCCGGCAAAAAAAAATAGGGTTAAAAACTGCTAGATATGCCTAACCTAACCTAGTAGTAAAAGGAAAATGCGAGAATGTTTTGCCGGAAAGATAGTATTTGGAGGTTAGGTTAGGTAAGTTTAGTCAGTTATTTTATGTTACCGGCAAAACCATTAGCGTTTAAAATAGTGCTAGATATGCCTATAAGCGAACATAACTTAAAAAACCTAACCTAACCTAGCCTAACTAAACCAAACCAAACCTAACCTAACTGATTTGTAGCTGCTAATAATGAATGACAACGTGGAACGCCCTTTGACTTTTAATAATCAATTAGTCAATTAGTCACCTGCTCCGAATACTTGCTTTCCCGCAAAAAGTTTTTTTTTCAGTTACTACTTACCAACAGAACAATCAATGAGTATGATACATAATAAAGGCTATATCAACGTTGGATTTATGCATTATATAAAATTGTTCTCCTTTTAAATAAATTACAGTATGTGTATGACATCTTTGCACTCCGGAATTAAAGTGTAGCATAATCAAATCAATAGCTGCAGTTTTTAGCTTTTAGCTTTGGAAGACCTCTGAAGCGAAAATTCATACATAATCTGCAAGAGAGAGAAGCTACAACTGATCGTAAGGAAACTTTAAATTGATACTTTTCGGTGTCATTGGTTGCAATATAAGCTATAATTGTCTATAAATTATTTATACTGGGTGGCCCATAAGTCAGTTGACAAATTTGCATTTAATGAAATGATACACAACAAAATGTAATACATGTCTATTATTAATTCATAACTCAAAAACAACATTTACTGTCGAGATGGAGGTTGAACTTTCGGAAAACGTTCTACAAACAAATTGCACACATCACTATAACTATGGCCATGTTTCCACCATGTTTGCAAAACAAATACACGCTGTTCTGTTGTTAACTTTCTATTCATTGTTTATCGAATTACAATGAACACACTATCATGAATAACTATCAAACATAACCTCAAACTAAACAACAACAATTACTAAACACAACTCCTAACAGCTGTGGTATTACAGCTGTGTATGGTACCAACTGCTAAAATTAAAAAAAAATTGCAAGCGTCAACTGACTTATGGGCCACCCAGTACTTATTAACTTTTGATTGAAGGCATAACCTAAAAAACTCTATGAGTTTTGTAATTAAGAAAATAATTATTCTTTGTAGTTTAGCGAAAAGTGACGTTCAAAACACGAGTAAAATTTGGTATATACATATTCTCGACCCGATAAATCTCGCACTTCAAACAAGGTCTCAAATATGAAATGACTCATTTTCCACTTTTGCTATTAAATATACTTTTCTGCGAATCATGTTCAACAAAATAAATAACTGACGTCATTGTGATGCATACAATTATAGAAGACTAACAGCATTTTGGCGTCATAATTGCACTCTGGTTTCAAAGAACTGTGAAACGTTTTGAAAATTTGCAGCACTGTGGCGTCATTTATCGATTTATGCCCTATTAAGGAATTGGGATTTTATCGTAAGCAATGTGTTATCCATCATAAAACATTCTCGAGTTACTTACCATATACAAAATCCTATACTCTAAAACAAGCAAGTTGACGGACACATTTTTTTCGTACTACGATATTTGATTTTTTTTTGTTTAAAATGAGTATTTGACCACGAAAAACCTATTGGAGTTGTTCACATGGCTGGGAAAATCAATTTACCGTCATACAGCCCTTTAAAAGTGCCCATGTTATCGTCAACACCTTTTTGTACCAATATAATTGCACTCTGTGTATTATACAATCTGTATAAGCATACACAAATTTCTAAGTTTTGCGGAAAATAATAGAAATTGTACCGCATATCAGCGTCAATATTGTTATCTACCTCAATTAGCGGAGTACTCGCTCAGCATTTTGGTGTCATTAGTTTTATTTATAGCCCATACTTATTTGTTTTTAATATAAATCATTCAATAAATCTATAAATGTATGTCTATGGTACATATTCTACGAAAAAATTAAATACAACTGCTGACTTCAATGTGCTGCGTAAATTTTACAAATCTTACAGCATTTTGGAGTCATAATTGCTCTCTGTATATACATTCTTTTCTTATGCACACACTAATTTTTTAAGTGTTGCGGGAAATTATAGAAATTTAACAGCGTATTAGCGTTATTATTGCTGTCTTACTCTATTAGCTTCGTGCCATATTCAATTTCTAAGCATTTTGCTGTCATTAGTCTTAATTTATTACCTATACCTACTTGTATTTAATAAAATTGTTCAATAAATCTATAAACGTATGTCTATGGTTCATATTCTACGAATAAACTAAATACAACTGCTGACTTCAATGTGCTGCATAAAATTCAATAAACTTACGGCACTTCGGCGTCGTCAATGCTCTCCGATTTCGAAGTGCTGCGTAAATTTTACAAA